CCGGCACGGCAGACACCGCAGGCACAAGCTCCAGAGGTGGAACAACGACAAGGGCCATTAGGAGGCAGGAGCAAGTGAAAAGAAAGTTTAACCCCGTTGGAAAAATTGAAGGTAACAAGAAAAAGAAGCCGTTCCACCGTCCAGAAAAGAGAGCGCACGAACCACCCCAGAATGAAGAAGGGAGAAGTACGACGTAAATGCAAAGAGAGCCAGGAGAAATACGGCAACTATAAACCCGGCTCCCAAACGGAAGATCTACTCATCGGACAGGACTCTACCGCAGCAAATGTCGCCGAATTGCGGAAGGGCCACCAGCGGCAGGAGGAAAAGTACAAGGAAAATTTGAACGGCCAGCAACGAGATCCAAGCAGGAACGAGAGAGAAGTGTCCCGGTTCCGCCAAGACCAGCGGCCATCAAACGGCCAAGACCACAGGCAGAGGGCGAAAAAGAAGGTATTCAAGGGTGACCGAACTGGAGGGAAAAGAAAGCTCCTAAGGAAGGAACTGAAGGGCGAGCCCGCACAAGAAGGAGGATAAATCAAACAGACGAATCTTCGCTACCTTCCAGGACTGGGCAGAGAAAAGAATGTCCGAAGATCACAAAGATAACTAAAATTTTATGTTACTTTGCAAACTTAAGTTAATCTTTCATTCTTACTGCAAGTGGCAGATTTCAAGAAGTTTTATCTCATGTGAGGTCTACCTTTATCGCCAAAAGGCGAGAAATGAGTTGTTACCTATTTTGGTATTATGTTTTTCAATTACTCGCGCGTAAAACTAAAGTTGATGTATAATAGGAATGTGTAAATACTTGAATATTGTAAAAGTTATTGTACAAATTTTATTTAAAACATTCTGGCAAGAAAGAAGTTTTAGTCTGAAAGACTTTTGAAATGTAGTATTTCAATGTAGAAGAATTGGCACTTGCTTGGAAAAGAATAGAAGTTAACAATGTACTACTAATGTATGTTTTCAAAATTGCGTAAAATTAACGGCATGTTAATATGTCCTTATATACAATGTGAACTGTTATTTTAAATGTTAAGAAATACCGTGATATGGTAAAAGTGAAAGTAATGCCAAAAATTTCAAACTTATTCGTGTGCCTGTAAAAAGACCAAATTATTGTGAATATGTGTTAAAGGTTGAATGAATGTAGTTAGGCTCTCTGACGCTACACTTCAGAGTTAGCCACTTTCAGAATAGTACCTCAGGGTTTTAGAGATTGAAGATTAAGGTGTGTTACGAGGTCTTGTTATGTTGAATTTTAACACGTTAGTGTTTTGATTGTAGGCGGCAGTGTTGAACACGTGTACATAAACACATTCGTGTTTGGTGTTTTCTTTTACAATACATGTCAGAGAGCACGGGGAGAGATAATTAAACAAAGTCGTGAATGAAATAAAAATGTTAGGAGAAATATAAATATTCATGTTACTTGCCATTTAATTGTGTAACATTTCATTAAACTAGTTTTCCTTCCAGATCTCTGGAAGGAATCAGATTTCAACTAAAAGCTCCTGTTTAGATGCAGTACAGATGAAAAGTAATTGTCCATGGAGCTGATAATGTAAAAATAATTTTTTTTTTTAAATTTCTAGTTTCTAGTGAGAAATGTTTGTAAACGATTGGCCTCGCGTTAGATTCTAGAGCTAAAAGTTTTCAACAAGGTCGTTTTAGACCTCAGTTTCAAATTAATTAACTCTGGCGGGAAGTATGTAAGGATCTTAAGTTTTACTAACGTTTATTTTATTTTAAATCTTTACTATCACTTCTTATTTTCTACTTTCGGCCAGAATTAAAAGCTTTAACTTATTTATGCAAATTTGTCTGGCGAACGCCAAGTACTTAATTTGTGGCTTTTTGCTAAGCGAGAGAGAGAAAGGAGTTAGTAGAAGCAGGCTGCTTGCCTTAGCAAGTTTTACTCGGTTGCTGGTTGCCTTCCAGGCCAGAGGTTTTAATCCTCTTAAAATTTTAATTAATTAACGTATTGTAGTGTTAACAGTTCTCTGTACTACATACGGCTTCCTCCTGTTAATATACGGCCAATCTTCCACGTAGGCCTTGTTTGTTATTCCAAAGTTAAGTTAAAGTTTAGTTAATATTTTTATATTCTTACGTTCAGACCACAAGTGGTTGGTCTCTGTATTCCGAAGTCCGGAAACTATTGTAAAGAGTGAAAAAATAAAGGGTTTCGTATACCCTTCCTGTGTATCTTGTCTACTTCCCACATTTATTGAACATAGCTTTAGTAAGCTCCCTGTTCCAAGTCAGGCCTTTGCATTTTCCCAAAGCAAGTAAGGGGGAACATTGAACCTGATAACATAAATCACGCAATCTCTAACGTCCTTTGCGAATTTTTCAGAATTTTTTAGTCTTTTGTTGCTACCTCAGTTGAAACATTTTTGGCAAGACTGGTTGGATTATAAATCGACAATATGGCAACCGGTTCCTTAAGCCACTATGCCAAACTAGGCAGAAACTTGCAAATGCTAAATTTTATATACCCATCTCATCCAAACAAAAGTTTAAGCATTGTGTGTGTATTTGTAAATTCTAATGGCTAGTTATTATTTTTTCTTAAATTTTAGAAAGCTCTGTTTCTATTTATTTTAATCCACCCGGCAAATCTAAAATTGAAATGCATTTTAATTTAAATATATCCTATTTTCGTTTTAATTATAATTATCAAAAGGCACCCGGCAAATCTAAAATTGAAATGCACTTTAATTTAAATATATACTATTTTCGTTTTAATTATAATTATCAAAAGTCTATGAAACTTTTTTTTAAATAGCTTTAGAGAGAACAGCACTGATATAGTACGTATGAAATTATTGCTAGAAAATATAGCTGTTAAGTGGTCAAAGTAATAGGCCTCTTCTCTTATTTCTTTTCTTCCCCCAAAACTTTCCAAAAATTAGATTGAATTTACATTCATCAGCATCTTTTTTAATAGAACAATCCTTATTCAGAGAAGGAACTAAATAAAGTCCATTAAAAATGAGATTTTTCATAAGTAACGTTCACCTTTCGTGAATACGTCAAAAATAGACTATTTAAAACTCCTTTATTTCGGGTTATCTCCTCCTAGGTAATCTCCTTGCCCCAGACCACACCCATGGTTAGCGCAGAAAGTGTATTGCACCACGACAAGAACTGATTACAGAGAGAAAATTGGGGAGTTGAAAAGAAGATTTCTCAGGGCGACGGAGAAAATTATTCTCGGCGGGAGAAAAATGAATCACCCTTTGGGGGTTGTCTTTATTGGTTGCCTGGCGAAACAAGGAAGAGAAAAATCAGTAATAACCAGCATAAATCTCTCTTGTTCCCGGAGTAATTTCCTCATTTTATTTTGTATAAATCATATGGTGAATTTCTGGCTGAATCTGAAGATATATAACTGGGACTCTCTACCTAATACTCTGTATATATAACTTTTTAAATTCTGTTTAAATTAAATTAATAGCTGCGGTTACGTTTGGGTTAAAAAAAGTGCATATCTCATTTCAAACATTATGAATTATTAATGAATTTAATCTCTATTTTACTTTATTGTTTCATTTGTGTACCGTGTTACTTTTCTTTGTAGATTTTAACGGCTGGTTATGATAATTTTTAATTTTAAAAAGTTACAATGCTCATGTTCATCAGGTATAATATACGTCAAGCAGTTAAAAACAACAATACATTATAGTGTTGGTTTATCGAAAATTCTGCGGGAAGTTGGAAAATTGCTCCTGTTAATTCTGCATGAGTTGCTATTAAATCTTTCAAATTATTTTTTAGGTTTCAAAAAATACGTTTCGGTTGAAAATTTGAAATGTCTCCGCAGAATTTCGTAGATCATCGGTTAAAATACTGCTGAATTTTTTATTAAAATTTTTAATTCGTTTGTTGAGTTTATTCTATGTCAAGAACAAAACTGAGATATTTAGCCATACCATAATGGGCGCGATCTTCCTCAAATTTATCTTTGCCAATGTATAAACATAATTTCACTTAGAATAGAAAAGGCGCTAAATATTCTTGCTATGAGGAGATACAAACGTTCATCTTTTCTTCCTTTCTTTATTTTTATAAAATTACGTTTGTATTTTCAAGAATACTTTATATTAGAATATGCCTGAAGTTATACCGATTGCTCCTGCATGTTACGTTCGCCATTGTTATCAACAGTCTATCGTATACAAGACGTTATCGTGTCTGCGAAGGTGAGCATGATGGAAACTTATAATTCCAATAAAAGGTGTTTCCTCCTCCCTCTCCTATGTTGTGTTGTCATTGGACTTTTACAACGATCTTTGATAATTCTTTCTTTTACAGTTTGTACAGTTCCTCACTTTGTAATTCTAAGTTAATGCTGGAAGTGAAGAATCTTAAGAACTGATAAGCGAATAATCGCTCAAGTTCGGATGACAAGAAGATAGAAGGGTAACGAACCCTTTATTATTCCAATAAGATTTAACAAAACTCCGCCTGCGAGTGTATAAACGGAGACCTTACTCGGGCTTGAACTTAAGGGACTAAGAATTAAACTAAAACTAAGATTAACTAAAGAAATATAGCCGAAGCTATGAAGATTCTAATCGAGTTGGCTACTTAACTTATTTGACTACGAAGCTTAGCAAGGGCTTGAGCACGGCCGAGTGTAATAACAACTTTGAGAGAGAGAGAGTGGCCCAAAAGGCAGACGCGCGTAAATCAGAAACTCTGATTCTCTCTGACTCTGCAACTTCGTGATTTAAATACCGCTCCTCCTCATTAAATATTCAGCAAGATTCCAAAACTACGTTCTGGCCGGAAGTAGTAAGTTGAAGTTAAGAATTTGACAGGAAAGGAATTTTAACTTAAAATTTAACTGTTAATAAAATTAACATAATCCTTACACGTTGTTTCACCACATAGCCACTAATGAATTCTGAACATAATTACTAACTTTAGAACCAACAACACACATGTAAGTGGTAGAAATGTGATGTTATCAAACTAAAACTTACCGAATACTGTCATAAATTGTTCTTTAGAATCCTTGCTAGCCAGTGAAGACACCTGGCAAGTATATTTGCCACTGAGCTCAGTGGATGGCTTTAGTTTGACCGCTCTGAACCTTGAATAAGCATCGGTGGTATTAACTTCAAAACTGAGGTCAGGTCGATTGATGAGAACCCCCGATATGTGTCTTCGGTCCAGCTCTGGAATCCATTGATAAACTGGCTCGAGATTGTCTTCAAAGAACCACTTGACAACGATTCTTAAATCATTCTCGTCGTAAGTGTAATCGCAATCAAGGACCACATAGTCCTCCGTACCATTCTGCACCCAACGGGGAACGGATAAACGTCGTATTTCAATGGAGTGTAGTACTAGAAAACAAAAAAAAAAAAAAAAAAAAAAAAAAAAAAAAAAAAAAAACACAGAATAATTAATTCATTTAATGGAAAATTAAATCTAAATTTTCACAAAAATACGCATTATATTTAGTATTTACTCTCATGCTAAAATTATAAAAATCTGATGTGTACACCGCATGACTTCCTTGTACAGAATATTAAATTATATTCATTTTTTTTCCATTTTATTTAAACTTATTGGATTGAATTAAATCTACTTCGCCGGCAGCGCATAAACCACAGTAGAATAATTCTATAAAATTCATTCTATTTGTTTACCACAGCGACACTCCGACGCTAGGTTCACTTAACAGTAATACATTTCGTTCATATTATATAACTCAGAATGCACAAAATTTATATCATTTAAAGGATTATCTAATTGTTGCCATATGTTTTATTCAAATACTACAATAAAGCTCGAACGATTTATAAAATAAATTAAGCAAACAAAACAAAAAAAGAAACAGTTTTTCACAGACGATTGCGTATTTCTCATGCAATTCATTCTGTTCTCACTTCGCGACAAGGCAAAAATACCTAAAAACTCAAAATATCTGTATTAACAATTACGAAGTAAATCTTAAACACTTATTTCCTCGAAAAAATTCCAGAAAGGATTAAGCAAGATTTAATTCGCAATAACAAATGAAGGCGTTATCTTTGATGTAACGAAGCTAAGTTTCTCTAGATTGGCAAAAAATCCACTATCCTGCTGTTTCAAATGTAAACAAGCTATGGCCGCCATCAAAAAAAAATATTAGGCTTTAAAATTGTCGATAATTCTAAAATTATTACATGCAGATTTATTAAAGGCATAAAAACCTTAACCGGAAGATAAGAACAACATAATTCAATCATTTCTAAAGCAAAAAAGCTACAATTTACAAACATATAGGACTAAAGAAACTGAAATCATTGAGTCGGGTAACAGAGTGGATATGTATATAAATATAATTATATACGTTTGGTGCGGCCGATTGCAACCAAAATACGAGGTGCACATCTACATGTTATAGCAGTCCTATATACAGAATTTCAACGTTCTGAGGCTACCCGTTTTTGAGTTATGCGAGATACGGACGTAGGTACATACGTTCGTACAGACGCCACGAAAAGTTCTCTTCAGAATTCATTTTAAAGGAGTTTTATAATTTTTTTGGAGGAAAAGAGTCTTTTATTCTGTCCTTAAGTACAGATATGACGCAAAAACATCGTTAAATTTTCATTTGATAGCGGTCAAAATGGATATTTTCGTTGAAATATGGTACCTAAAAATTTTCGCGATTACAATACTTCCTTTTTACTTCGTACAAGGAAGTAAAAATGGTCCTATGTAAACTTACAAATAGCAGTAAAATAATATTTAGTTTCCATAGATTAAGTGTATTTAAAACATTTAATTCCTTCATGAAAATATCAAAAATGGAATAAATGACTATAAAGCTTATTTTGATTACTTAAGTATTTTATAGCAACATCATTAGGGCATTTCCTTGCAGCGCTTTAAGTAAAGTTTCTGAGAGTTTGCTTAGTTTTCCAGAAAGAAATTAAAGCCGTCAATAGGGTTCCTTCTATTAATACTCATTCTTCTGAAGAGTTGTCTTAACATAACTTTTAACGCCTCTACTGTATATGACAGAAAGTATAAGTTGTATAGGTGAATTTTTACATTATGGTAACTTGGAGATTTTTTGGCGAAAATTTGGCGAAAAACCCTGTTACAGCAACTTGGTAGTTTTGTTTTGGACGTCATTTTGTTTTCAAGAAGTAAAGACATGTCTTTTTTTTTTTTTTTTTTTTTTTTGGGGGGGGGGGGGGAGAAAGTGCAGAATCGCAAACTGCTTGCCGCGTTTTTAAGAATTGCAGATACGCGTGCATGTAATCCATGTACGCGTCGACCTATTTTTACTCAGTAAACATCCCAGAATTGCACAAAAATGGCATTGCGCACACTCTTGACTTTATCCATGTACACATCGACCTATTTTCACTTAAAAAGTCAAAGAAAATTGACAAAAATCCAATTCTTCTTACTCTTGTAAAAAGCGCCAAACAAATAAGTGGGCGATTCTACACTTAGCAGCGAAATTGTTTCTAAGTGCTTATTAGCTAATAATTTCCGAATTTTTCGGAAAATGTCACATTACATGTTTCATAATATCTCATTGCTCTCAGACAAAATAATCTGTGATTCAAACTGTGTACTTCTCAGATTATTGCTAAAGTCCTAGCTAGTAACCTTTATCGCCTTACCAAAATGTCGCCAAACTACCTGTTACCATATATTCTAAAGATCAGCCGTTGAATGAGCTATTTCATCATCCTAACAAAAGATAACCGCTAAATAGGTTGGTTGATTTTGGCAAAGCAACTTTAGCGACTTTAGCGCTTGTGGGCAGAACCGTTAATAATTACAGTTCCTTATATCCTTATTTAAAAAATTATTACAAAATTCAAAGAATGAGCAATAGCAAATGATATAACTTACTAAAAAGGATGAAAAATGTCAGCGCTCCATATGCAACTAGACTTCTTGAGAAGTAACTGCATGTGCTTACTCTTCCTCGAAATTCTGAATGCATAAAAATACACGAAGAATGCTTTGCATAAACTGGGTTTTGTAGATACGCACATAGTTGTTGTACATTATGGGTATTAAAAATTTTGTACCGTAAAAAATCACTCAAAATGGGTTAATTTAAACGGTAGTTTATTTTTCATTCCTAATTTATTTTCTTATTTAGTTCTATAACTGAAATCTGTAACTCTTGCTAAATCTTGTAAGCAAAAGTATTTTAGAGTTAATCCTGTAGACAAATACAGATTTGCAGTCATGCCGATGGCTCCTGAGGAACTGTCCTACACTAGCGGCCGAGCAGAAAAGTCACTAAACACCGGCAGTTCGGACCGAGGTTCCAATCCGTTGAACGGTCTGCCTACATGTGTTCGTGGTTTTTCTCCTATGTACCTTATATACGAGCCAGTTTTTCTTAGAACGTCCTTCACGAAGACATCCCTCCCCTCCCAAATAGCCCTCGATCTTTGCCATAATGAAGTAAACCAAAACCAAACCAGTGAGAAACTTTAGATGTGGTCAGGCTATTTGGCGACAACATTTTACTTAAAATGGAACTGATTAAATTTCAATTACGTATAATACTCATTCCAGCTTATGCTCATAATATTCTAATTTGGTTGTCTAATGAAACAAATGCATATATTTTCGGTTTTGAAGCAATTATCTGTTGGCAACTTCTACTCATTCGCATATTCTTGATACATTCAATTGCTAAAGAATGTTAGGTGTTTGCCAACATCTTCTAAATGTCAGAACAAAAATTCCTGTGTTCTCAAAGGGTTTCGTGACTCTTTTAGCGTGAAAATAATACCTACGTTACTCACTTCTGAGGAACAGATGAATTAAAACATCAAGCGAGTTGCTTGTATGTTTGCTACACATGAAAATTTTTCTTTTGCTACCAGAATTGTGTTTTATTCCCTAAGAGCGCAAAATGTTTCACTGTTCGTTGTTGTGAAATCTCCGCGTTAAGTTGAATATTTATGTAACTCGGCTACAAAAATCTCCACAAGTTGTGACTGTCTGCAAAGTATGTTGCTTGATAAGAGTAAGCATTCATGGCAAGATGTTGTATTCTTATCATTAGCAACAGAATAGCCGTATGAACAATGAACTAAAAAGTGTGGTAAATTATCGATGAACAGAAAATAAATTAGGTGCAATTATTTATCTTAAAGTATTGTTCTAAAATTGGAAATTCTAGCTGATAATTGAAACACAGCTTATCTTATAAGGTATTTCTCCCGATTTCCAGCGTGTCTTCGTGGTGTAACGGTAGCACACTGGGTCGGTATTCCAGAGGTCCGGGGTTCGGTTCCCGGCGAAGGCGTTTACTATTTTTCATCTTTTCTGCTTCCAATTAACCTAATGACTCTACAGTGGCGCCCGAACTAAAAGGGTTGTGGATGATGATTCTCCACACCCAGGTCCCCTAAAACCCTTTTTAAAGGGGAGTATATAAGGTATTTCTCCGGCTTTCCAGCGTGCCTTCGTGGTGTAACGGTAGCTCGCTGGGTCGGTATTCCAGAGGTCCGTGGTTCGATTCCCGGCGAAGGCGTTGCTAATTTTTCCTCTCCCTGGCTCCAAAATAATACATAATGTCTCTATAACCTCATATTAAGCACTGCCGACAAACGGCCGAGCGGGAAAACTGAACAATGGTAGTTTGTCCCGGAGTTCCAACCCGGCGAAGGGCTGGTTGCATGGTCGTTTTCGTGTTTTTGGCCATGCGTAACATGCATACGAGCCACTTTCTCTTAGAAAGTTCTCCATGAAGGCATCCCTTCTCTAAGTTCGCCGCTTTTTCGGATGGCACAGACTGTCTTTTCACCATCGACGAGGAATAGCTGATGTACTTTGAACTTTGTAATCGGTTACGAAATCTCGATTCTTCCTTTACGTTTTAAGCGGAATTATGGTAAGGTTGTATATAGAAAATCCCATAGAAAGAATAAGGGCCTAACTTGATATTTAATTTTTTTGTTTCTATATACGAAACTGGACCCAATGCGAATAAACATCTATGATACAATCAACCGTTTCTATTACTCGAATTAATTCATTACGAGACCTTTATAAAAGTTTAATAAACAGAAATTCGCTCATATTTCTGATACAGCGATCAAAAGTATAGATATGCTTAGTTTAGCTTTCTTGTTAATAAAAAACATGTAATGAGTCTAAAAAATAAAGAAAATTACTATATGTAGTGTTGTCTAAGCAGAAATAATGCATGATTATAAAACAATTATTAGAATGTAGGGATTGTATATGTATGATTTAAAATAATAATTACGTATGGTAGAGCACTTGAGGAAAAAAGTCAATGAATTTTATTTATCTGAAAACTTCGTAATCGATAAATAACGCCCACTTTCACATCGACGATACA